TAAAAAATGAATTCTACCAATACACTTTGGGCTGACTCAGAGACAGAGATTTGTCTCTAAAGGTTTCATGAAAATCTCACATTCAATCACTAATCAACTAACCAATAAGAATCCATCTTGTTGATCAGTTAAGCGAGTTGATAGACCACTGGTCTAGAGGCATTTAGTGTACAAGACGCTTTGACTTGGCAAATATAATTCTACACTGAGACTGTCGGCACCTGATGTGATGGAACGCACAGCTTGGGTGGCACTTCACCACTCACACCGAAATGTGTGTGCATGTGTGTGTGTGTGGTGTGAAGCAGTCTGACTTTGGTTGCAAAGCTGTTAAGTAGCTGACTAAGATCAAAGGAGAGAAAGAGAGACAGACATGAGAGGAATAGACTGTTCACCTATGTCTGACCCAACACACACACACACACACACACACACACACACACACACACACACTAGTCCTGTGTCAAACTTTCAGCTATTCCTATTAGCACTGGCTGACTGGAAACAACCTCTCCAAAACTAACTCACTCAGTGTGATTCACAAACCTGTGTATTCTCTGTTCTCATCTCAAAACTATTCATCAAACTTGTCTGAATAAGGAAAATCTTCACACAAGGAGTTAGTTCAGTTGTCATAGAGATGGGTCCATTGTTATCACATGATATCATGGGTGGAATTTCAGTCACATGATAACAGGTGGTCGTACACTGCACGTGGGGGATGACTGTAATCCCGGTCTTGAAAATATCCGGTAAGTCAACTGTGTGTTAAGTACTTTTTTGTTAAAGGTCAGAAAGTTAACGCAACCTCAATCTCAACTATTCATAAACTAATATTAGTGGGTCTTTTAGGAGGACTTCAACCACGCTTTCAGCAGCGCCTTGTTTTTCATCTTGAATATCAGAAGCAAAGACCAACGACCGGCCATGGACTGATGCATTTGTTCAATCAGGACCACCAACTGTCCATCAAGGACACATCAAGTTTGTCTGTTTGTGTTCCCTGTTTCATGCTGTTTAGCTTGTATTTATCCGCTTCCTGTTTTTATTCTGTAGGTTCTCTCCTCATGTGTCATGTCTGGCTTTACTTCCTGTCTTTGCGTGTTTTCCTGCCTGTTTTCTGCCACACCTGTCTTGTTAGTCCTTCCCTGTTCCCTGAGTCTTCCCTTCACACCTGTTCTGTATTAGTCTTGTCTGCTCCACCCTTATCATCAGCCAATCCCTGTTTCACTCCTGGTGCCCATGTCTTCCTTCTCCAGCTGTGTCTTGTCCTTGTGATTAGTCTTCTGTGTATGTTTGCCTATGTTTCGAATTGTCAGTCCGCCTGTGTACTTCTGTGCACTCCTATGTACCTCTGCGTATCTCTGGGTCTGTCTTTCCTGCCATTATCCTGCACCACCCCCGGTCTTCTTTTCTAGTTCCTGGTTGGTTTTTTGGTTTGGATTTTGTCTCTGCTCCTTGATGGTTTTTTGAGTTGCCTGCCTTTTTGAAAACTGCCATTGAGCTACATTAAAGCTCGCTTTCTGTTGAAAACTGCAAACCTGCCTATTTATCTGCATTTGGGTCCACCTCTCCTGAACTGAAACGTGACAACTAGCTGTTAACAATCACAAGCTCACACTATCACCTCCTGCAGCAACAGGTATATTGTAGGAATACTGCAGCGCCTTGTGTCTAATACGGCTGATACAAGCTACTGTAAACTCAGTGTTGTCGACCACAGGCAGGCTGTTTGTCCCCAAAGAAAAGTTATACAGCATTCACTCTGCTGGCAGCTGTGAGTGTTATCTGCTGATGTCTGGCATGGATTCCCTTAGGTCTGCTGATTATAGCAAGACAATCAACATCTGATTCTATGCATTCTCATGAACTGTATAATTATGACAAGGAGACGGTTTCTGTATGTCAAGATTACGAGAAAATAAAGCTTGTTAACTCGAGATCTGTATCATCCGTCGCTTGTCTCTGCCACCCGGGGAAATCTGAAATTGCTGCCAACAAAATGACTCCAGGCGATCACCTTTTTTTTGGGTGCAGTTACTTTAAAAATGTTGACATCCTATTCAACAACTCAGAAGTCAGGACTGCAAAATTATGCAGAGACACTCTCACGAGCCAGACGACACCTCACATGAGCATTTACAGTGAGAAAACAGCATCTTTAACACCACCACTTATAGCCAAGTATGCTTTCAAGAGCTCTATATGCGTGCTGCAGACTACTGAGGTAACAGGTTCAACAGAAATAGCTTCTCTCTATATGATGCGTTGGCCGTGCTGCACAGTGATGATCACTTATATTTGGAATTCAGCCCTGCATTTCTACAGATATGGGTGTAAACCATGCATGGGCTCCAACACAGCAATGTTTTAAGCATTAAAAATCTCAAAGCAGGAGAGATATTTGGATGAAATATGATTTAACACTACACAGAGTATACTCACTTTCATTGTGCTTATTTAAAAGGAGAAATTATTTTCAGCACAGGAAAGTTGCCAAGCTCAGCCCGACTAAATTCAGTGAATGTAATTGTGTGATGCCTGACAGCAAGTTTACACCCAATCATACGTTTTATTATACTTTAGATCTATACTTGTTTGTATAGATCTAAAGTATATTTTCAGTGGATAAAAACATATTAACACTTTTTATTAAAGTATTAAATACTTTATAAAAAATATTCAAGTACAAGTTCTGCATCAATTAGCAGCAAAAAAAGCAATTAATAGCAGACATTATGCAGGAGAATGGTCCTGTGAGTGTTATATTATGATATATTACATTACTGAATTTATACTACTGATGCATCTTTAATAAGCAAACACTTTGATCTTGTAGACCTTAACTAGTTGTTTAATTCATAAAAATGCATTGAAATTTATGAACTCATCATGTGTTTTGTATTTAAAATATTTACTTTTTTAATTAAAAAGATGTAGAAACTTTTAGATAAATGTATTGGAGCAAAAAGTACATCATTTGGCTTTGAAATGCAGTGCAGTAGAAGGCACAAAATGGAAATACTCAAGTTAAGCTCGACTCCCTCAAAATGATACTCAAGTACAGTGCCTAAGTAAATGTACTCAGTTACTTTCCACCTCTGCACATTCCATGTTCCTCCTACAATATCTCCACCATGATATTTCCAAAGGGGCTGACTGACCTGTTCCCGGCCTGTCTGGCACGAGCTCCACCGGGCCTATTTGGCGCATCATGTAGGCTGTCTTCACCTCATGACAGCTGTCTGCATCGGCTGATCTACAGCCAGTCTCCGGCAGAAAAACCAAATGAAACAAAATCACCCAAAGCAAGTCCACGTTTTGTAAGGCTGCACGGAACATCGCAACATGTCAGTGAGGAGATAGAGAGTCTGGATGGTTAATATGAATTCCCTACAAGGTCCCACGGTGCAGTGTGACTGAAAACTTCATCTGCAGCCAGTAAGTCTGTCTGGAGCCCAGTGTCAGGCTCAGCGCCCTCCTCTCCCTCTGACTCTCTCACTCACTTCAGCTCAATTACTTAATTGACATGTGCACCCAAAGGACTTGTAAATAATGTGTGGTTTGAAAACGTGTGTCTGTTGTACGGCAACTGTCGTGATGTTAACGATAACTTATTACAGTTAAGAAAATGACAACACAATAAAAGCATAACTGCCATAACAATCATAAGGATTAAATGCCATTTACTCTCATTTCATTAAGTTATGTGGTCTTTAGCCATCTGTTTATTTATTTGTTGCTGATGTTTTTTACTGACGTTATAGCTCTCTCACATGCATAGTTTACAACAGCTGCTGCTGCAGTTAAGGTTCATTAAACTTGACTGATAGCTGTGAGTGAAGTGGGATCACAGGGAAATGAGGTTTGACAGTGGAACTTTGGCGCCACCTGCTGGTCTGTTGGGGTTACAGCAGAGTCATTTTAACAGCTCCTGAATAAAATAAGCACTATTATATTCATCTAATATAGGCTACTGACTTCACACGTAAATGTATGGATTTAAGGATAGGGGACGCTATATAATATAGCGTAAGTAGGTGCTGTTGAGTTAACCGACAGTACTCATCGAAGGTTAGCCTCACTAACTTGCTCACTCATAGTTCGTTAGCCAGTGCGGAAAATTAATGCCAGTGCCATCGAAAGCAATGTGTTGTTACCCTTCCTCGTGTTATCATTTGGGCTAAAAGGTTATTTTATTCGACGTTACTTCTACAGAGGCCTAAACAAACTTGCTGTAGCTCGCGGTAAATGATGAAATTATAACAGGACAAAAAAACATGTGCCCCGTGTGAGGCTCGAACTCACGACCTTCAGATTATGAGACTGACGCGCTGCCTACTGCGCCAACGAGGCTCTGTACGACTATTCAAAACATATTGATTTGAATGTAAAACAAGACGATTCTGTGTTTTGTTCTGTTTTTTTTATAGATTTGTTTATTAAATATCTCAATCTGGTTCAAAATGGTAACGTATGGCCGAGGATGAACAGAAGGTGTCAATGCACACACCGCTTTATCTTTGTGGAAAAGCTGTGGTGTGTTCACTGACAGTTCAAGCGGATGGAAATGTTTCACTCCTTTCTCGTTTTTCATAACAGGCCACCGCCTCGATTGCGGCTGGGAGTCAAAGTTAAAAGGAAGCTTTCTATGTAACTCTGTCGACAGCAAGCTAAATCACCCTAAACTCAGGATGATGTCCTGACAAATGACAAATTCCAAAGTAAAAACAGCTTATGTGACCTTTCAGGATGGCGCTCCTTGTCACCTGTCGGCCCAGCAAAACCATCATGTGAGAGCCAATGGTGTTGCCTATCACTACCAATAATTGTACCAAGAATTTACCAGTCATATGTCGACCACTATCGACATTTGTGTAAACCAATTACCTTTCGCTGCACCTTCCACGATTTGACTAATCAGGACAAGTTGTATACCACGACTGTTTTCCCACGGGCCCTGAATGCATCACGATGCTTGCTGCGGCCCCTTTAAGTCCAATCTCCCGCGTTCCAACTTAAGCGGAAATAGAAAGCCCTCTTTTCTCTATTTAAGCGCGCCAACAAAGACCAATACAGGAGCTCTTTCTGTACTTCTCTCACTGGACACCACACCGCCAGTTTCTTCTCTGTCCAACACTTCCTGTCGTCCTTAAAAATGCCAGAGGAAATGTCCGCCGCGTCGAGCTCTGGGAGGTAAGACCCGCTTGTAATTTCTCACAGTGTAAGGTACGCTGAGAAAACACAGCTAGCTAGCATTTAGCTCTATATGAAGGCGGCTAACGTTGACGACCTTTAAGTGGTTAGTAACGTTACTAGTCGCATGACATCTAGGTTTTACATACTTAGAGTCAATGACAGTGACCGTGAAACTAAAGGGATGGGTAACTGTACCTGCTGGTGGCTGCAAGTGCTGCTAGCAAACACCACTACACCCCCGACTGGTAGGCTAGTTTGCTAACAACCATACGGTGCTAACAACAATAAACCGCAGCTAACACTTCCTCTGGTAGCTTCAACTATCTCGTCAACAGTAAAAGTTAAGTGTGTCGACTGTGGTTGCAATTTACAATCCGGTCAGGCAGCTTGTGTTGGTACTGACTACACTCAAGTTTGAACTCCGTTGACTCTTGCAGTGCGGAGGAGAAGCCGTGCTCCTCATCAGCAGCAGCTGCCGCAGACAGGTGAGTGTCCACACTGAAGACTCCGCTGCATCTGCTCACTTGATCATTTATCAACATGGACATTAGAAACATGTGCACCCCCTCTCCACACAGCTCTGTTGACGTCGCGGAGGAGGCAAAGAAGCTGATTGGCACAGGGAACAGGCATCTAGTGATGGGAGATGTTGTTTCTGCTGTCAGTGTTTTCCAGGACGCCTGTAGCATGCTGTGAGTATAGTTACTGCACTGTGACTGACTCAATACGAATAGTCACTGTTAAAATTGATGTTTTTGGTGTGTGTGTGTGTGTGTGTGTGTGTGTGTATAAGAAATATTGGAATCATTGAATTTTGTTAGCAGTTTTGTCTATTTTTGAATATGTATCCATCTGAATATGTGTGACAGGGAAGGTAAAGTTTTTAGCTACTTTGTGCTTTCCAAAGTTGTATTGAATCTGAAATGCATATTGACCTCAATTGTATCTCGATTTCTAAGTGCGTTCCAGTGATGTGGTTTTGATTATGTAAAAGTAAGCTTTATTTTCATCACCGCTTTTCCCACCAAAACCTGCTTCACTCATTCCTTTTGCTGTCTGTCCGCCAGGGCTTCAAAATATGGAGACACTGCATATGAGTGTGGTGAGGCCTTCTTCCTGTGTGGGAAATCTCTACTGGAGCTTGCCAGGTGGGTTAACTTCATTGCTTTAACTTTTTGAGACTTACTGTACATTGGGTGGTGTTAGTGCACATTTGAAAGTGTACACAAAGTTGATTAATGCTCCGTCACTTTGATAATAAAATGACTTATTGTTTGCTGTTTTTGTATGATGCCAGCCCAGAATTCAGTGTAGCAAAGTGCTGACTGGACATCTGTTAAGCAATTTTTAGAGTAATAGTTTTCAGACTTTTTTTTTTTTTCCTTGTTCTGTTTCTATTAGGATGGAGAACAGTGTCCTTGGTAATGCCCTGGAGGGTGTTCCAGAAGAATCTGAGGAAGAGGAGCAGCCCAATGGCTCAAATATCGAGAGTGCCAACAATCTTGATGGTCAGTATCTATTATCATAAATGGTTGTCAGATTAAGGGAACAGATCTCAAGTGATTTCAAATTGTGTTCTGCTAATAATGGTGTCTTTGCGATCCCATACAAGGCAAAATTAATAAATGGTCTGTAAGTTAGTTTGGTAGGTCAAGTAGTTTTTATATGTATTTTGTAAGTTTGTCTCTGGTGTTTTTCATATGTATTTTTCTTGCATGCAGTGCCATATATCCAAGTTATTGTAAAACACCAGACTGATTTTCAGCATGGCACTTGGTTAACTTGTTACTGTATTTACATGATAAAAGAGATAAACATGCACAGGTGAGAAGCCAAATAACAAATTACTAATGCAACATTAGAAAAGGTTTTGCTTGTGTTCCCCTCAATGAGTTGTGAGCTTTCTGTCAAGTGTTTCTCAAAGGTATTTAAATGATCTAATGTGAACCTGTTTTTCAAATACCACTCTGGTACAGAAAAAACTAGAGATGAGCTACGAAAGCAGGTGTATGATGCAATGGCAGAGAAGGAAAAGACTGAGGCAGTTGGCGCCAAGTTGGAGTCTGTGGATGGAAAGGGCAACACTGAGGTGAAAGAGGAAAATGGTGTGGTCAAGTCAGCAGGCACACATGATAATGGATCAGAGGAACCCTCAAGTTCCCCTGTGAATGAGAATGAAGTCCAGAAAGCTCAAGTAAATGGAGTTGAGAAGAGCCCAGGTGTTCCTGTGAATGGTGCAGCAGAAAGTCCCACTGCGTCCCCAGGAAAAGAACCTGGGATGAAGGAAGAAGATTTGAAAGAGCAGAATGGTGTGAAGGCAAAGCCAGAGGAAGGAAAAGATGAAGAATCCAAGACGGATGATGAGGAGCCAGAGGGCAGTAGATCTTTGGATACGGAGCACTGTTTGTGTAGAAGGGTGGAGGACTAGCTTGGTATCTTGACATAATGGGCCACAATAAGAGGTGTTACAAAAGGTGAAGGGGAAACCCACTGGAGTATGTGTTAGAGCACTTAAGGGGAAACATTTTTGAGCACACTTGCCTTTACTTTCCACTTCATCACACCATAAAAAATGATTCTTTAGCTCTAATTTTCCTGTTGCTTCAACAGATGATGACGATGATGATTATGACGATGATGAGGATGGAGAGCAAAATGGACAGGATAAGGTGAGTTCATATACATGGCAGAAGGCTTGATGTGATTTTTAAAGGGTTTTTTTTTTGTGATTTATGCCTTCCTCCTCTTTTCAGGAAGAGGATGAAGTTGGGAACTTGCAGTTGGCGTGGGAGATGCTGGAGGTGGCTAAAGTCATCTACAAAAGGTAGAGGCCACAGAAGACGAAGCTTATTGTAGAAAAAGAGCAGTGGCATAAAATTAAGTCTTCTACATTTAAGGAGTGACTGGAAAGATTCGTACTGAGTGTGTTCAAGAAAGTCACTTCATACGAATTCAGACTTTATGTTTGAGGGCCCTGCTTGATGATGTGAGACTATATGCAGTGTTTTACAGTAGATTTTTCTTCATACTTGCAGAAAGGAAGGCAAAGATGACCAGCTGATGGCAGCCCAGGCATACCTGAAACTTGGAGAAGTCAGTGCTGAATCAGGTATGTTTCATGTTGCATTTCCAGGATGTCATTTTCACCTGATGGCCCACCTTTCCCCTCGCCTCTTAGACCATGTTCTGAATTAAACCCAGGCATTATTCCGCCATGGCTTCTTGTTCAAATGTGAATTGACCCATCACATTGTTTAATCGCCCCATTAATAATTGGTACTTATGTCTGAGACCTTCAATGTTTTCATGTTCCCTTCCCCAGGTAATTATCCCCAGGCGCTAGAAGACTTCCAGGAGTGTCTTGCCCTGCAGCTGAAGCACTTGCCTCCCCACAGTCGTCTGCTGGCTGAGACCCACTACCACGTTGCCACTACACTGTGCTACATGGATCAGTACAGCCAGGCCATCCAGCACTACAACAGCTCCATAAAAGTCATTGAGACGCGTCTGGGTAAGAGTGCACTGAGTTTTGTTTTGAGCATTTTCAGAGCTGTTGTGCTGTCTGTCTTGAGTGCTATCTCATTTTTAAATGAGGCAAGTGTTGGAGTGCATGGAGTCTCTTCACTCTTGAAATGATACTAAGCCGTCTGGAAAGTTGAACATCAAATTATGGCAGCTGAGGAACTGCACTGATCCTGTTTATCGTGCATTTGCTGTTCTAATCAGTCATTCTCGGTGTATAGCCATGTTACAGGAGGTGATAGACGCAGCAGACGGGGCAGCAGAAGAGAAGAATGAGCTGGACGAGCTGAAGCAGCTTCTGCCCGACATCAGGGAAAAGGTTGAAGATGCCAAGGAAAGCCAGAGAACAGCAAGCGCTGCCTCACAGGCCATCCAACAGACACTAGTGAGTGCCCAGGGCAACAATATACACTGATGGGGATGAAAACCATCCATGGTTAGAGCTATAGTCTTTAAATGTGAGTGCATTGTGTATGTGTGCTCTCAACACTTGGTCACATTCCAGCGTAAAAATCCACCTTGACGTTGTCAGAGTGCTGCATAGATGTGCAGAAGCTTTAAAAACAAGAGCTTCAGCTCCTGGGTAATTGGCTAACCTCTTGCAGGGCGGAGCCTCAACCTCATCAGCATTCCTATGTGAAAACGGCGGCCCTTCATCATCATCATCATCATCAGCATTTGCCACAGCCAGCCAGGTAAGAACATCATTAGTGTATCTTTAACTGCCCACAGTTTAACATGACTGACTGCGTGACAGAACATCTCTAAGAACACAAACTAAACTTGTCTATTTTAGATCCCAGTTAAATCATCTGACAGCGCCTCTTCTTCCAAAGCAGTCTCGAACATCTCACATCTCGTCAGGAAAAAGGTGAGGCCAACTAATCTTCACTCTCGTTTCCACCGTGTGTGTGTGTGTTTTGGTGTTTGTTTTCCTCCTTAATTGCTGCCAGTTTCATACCTGTGACAGATCAAAGGCCATTCAACATGTCATGATTTTGCTGTCTGTTTCACCCACTGAAGCAACCGTTTAATAACAATCAAGGAACAAATACCTGGACAGCTGACTCCGTACCGGCTGTATAATCATCTGTATATTGGTGCTATACCTGACTCGGAGTTATGTCAGTCTAATGAGACTAGGCTGTACAATGCAAATATTCAACTAATGTTAATTTGGAGCCTCACAGAGCAAAGCACCTCCTCCTCTGTGCAGCTGCCTTATACCAAAGAGCAGCATGAAAGAGGAGCACTCACTCTGCAGCAAACTCTCAGGACCATAACATTCCCTGAAGTACACTTAACATTGACTGGCTTAAAAAAAAAGTGCTCGACATGGAGCAATCAATCCAACTCCCAGTGCGTGTACTGTATATTGAAACTGGCCATGTACCACTCATTTTTGTTGCAAGATCCATGTGCTTGCCTGCTTTGGTTGTAGGGATGTTACGGCTTTCTGTGAATGTCAATCTTAAGCTTGTGTGTTGTGGGGTTTGTGTGAAGTGACTTCTGTTGGTTACGTTCTGTAGTTGTGGCGTGTGTGTAGGTGGTTGCATTGTGGTACTGCTTAATGCTGTAAATTTAAGCTTTGATATTAGCTGATCTGTGTGCATGATACACTAAAATGTGTGTGTGACTTTGACCGTTGTTTGCATTGAATACAGTGGTGTATAGAGGCGTTAGGTCTTCTCCACTTTCCTTTTGACCGGTTTTATGTTTCTACACAGAGGAAACCAGAGGACGAGAGCCCAGTAAAGGACACTGATGCTAAACAAGCGAAACAGGAAGCCACAGTTAATGGCAGCGCTGACTCTAGTGCCAGCAACGGCAATGGAGTCCAGGAGGGAAAATCACAGGAGGCGAGTGATAGGCTCATGTCTTTATGAACTAATAAGTTTCCAGGACAGCACTTCAAAAAGAAGAGATTGCCGTGACGATGCTACCCTGCTTAGATGGAAGGGATAGGAAGTCATCTGAAAAAGTTGACATGTTGCAGTCTGCATGTATGGAGGGAATGCACCTTCTTAAAGCCCAATCAAACCTACATCAATGCCTAAAAGGAAGTTGGGAGGAGTATGTAATTTAAGCACGATGAAACTGATTCATGTGATGGACTTTGTGGCTGGTTGCAGGTCTAGGCACAAGACCTCAAGGTGCCCAGACTTTACAGGCCGTTTTTCCCCAAACTTCAAGTGACTTTCATCTGTATAGAAGCAAGTGATGATACTGTACATTGACAGAGCACTTGCAGCATTGACTGTTACTGTGGTTGAAGTTTATACGGTTGAATTCTTGGACTGGCTTCAAAACTATTTTCACCTCTTGAAAAGTTATTCTGGAGTTTCCAAAAGGGGGCGAAATGACATGTCATTTTTGTGACTGAAAGTTCCTTTTGTAAATTAAAGTGCAGTGGTGAGAGCTCTTAACAAGACAAACCAGCACATATCCTCTGGATGAGATGATGGGTAGTCAGTGCTGAATCCTTCCTGTTTGTGAGTGTTTATTTGTTTTGTTTTCTTTGTTTCCTACAGTCTGCCAGCCAGTCGGCCCCCGTCGGGTCTTCAGCATGACCATCCTCGTCTCTTTCCTGATCTTCAAAACCAGCACAGCATGCCTGTCCAGCCCCTTTCCACTTTCAACACTTTTTGTTTTGTTTTTTGTTTCTGTAAATAAGATCCATTTTCATAGATTTGTCTGTCCAGTTTTTTTTGTATACTTGTAGTAAAAAATTAATAATAAAAAAAAATTTGCAGCTGTAACTTTGTATCACTGAATTCTTCAGACTCTGAGAACTTGAGACATCACAGTCTTGATGAGGACAAAAACTTAGATGTTGACTGCAGTTTTGAAGAAGTGGAACGTGCACTATTTGGCAGCCACACTGGTGTGACAACCTGAATTTGTTTTGCTCAAAGTTGGTCTTCATTCAAACATCTAACTACTTAACACAATATCTAGGAGTAAGTTAGGACAGCATTTTGCCACAAGTTTTGCTTTATTAAAATATATTTAATCTGTTAATTTTTTTGCAAATGTGTTTGTTTAATGAATACTTTACCCTAGAAACAGGTGCCACAGATGAACATGGATAAACCTGCAGTGATTAGTGGATTCACTGTGTGCATTTAAACCCCCCCCCCCCCCTTTCAATATCTGAGACAGTCTTTGGGTTTTGTACTGTTGGTAAAACAAGATGGTGGGACACATTACAGGCTTTGAGAACTTGAAATTAGCACTTTTCAGTACTTCCTGGCATTTTCATAGACCAGGTAAGGTAATGGAGAAAAATAATTGGTTACATTTTGCTGTTAAATAGTTGCAGCTAAAAATGTACCATTAAAACCAACCTGATACATTGATTGTTAAATCATGCTCGTGGTGCTACACATAAGATGTGTTTTGCATAACTAGGCTTCTACTGTAGACCTGCACATTTTAACAGCAACAAAAAGAGTAAATGCCTTCATTGTCTTGAAGATGAGGGGTGAAAGGAGCCCTCACTTAAGCCACCATAACAGTTCATGTCTTGATTGTAGAGATATTTTCTGCACTGCATTTTGTTTTCAACTCTGACTGGCCTTTGTGGGTGGAGGGTCTTGGTGATTAGTGAAAGACAAAAAAGAGGACACGTCATCCACTCTTGTCGGCTGTGGAGCTGAAACTGGCAGAACTGCATTTCCATGGACAGTCGAAAGATGTGAGGACACCTGTATCAAGACACAAGGCATACAAATAGCACCACAGACAAGCATGGATACAAAAGTATAAAGGTTGGGTAATTTAGTAGCCATAACCATGGTTAACATCCTACCACAGCTGGGTATTTGTAGCGACTGGTGCTGGCTGGGTCAGGTTTTGCCAGAGTTTGAACATCTCCATCTCTTCCATTGACCAAGCGTACACACAGCTCCATGTTGCCCACCTTAAATTTAGAGAAACACACAGTAAGATGTACAGTTCACTGTCTGGCTTCACTGTATGCCAAAAAGGTACATCGGACTGAAACACCCACATAAACTGAACTGTTGGCATATTTATACCTGTGACACTGAGTTGAGCTGGGCAAGATTTAAAGAGGGTTGAATGGGCAGACTGCGCACTGGTACCCTCCAGTGGCCACTACGGAGCTGTTAGTGAAGGGAAAATATTAAAATGTTATGACATTTACTATAAACCTGAGTATTCAGTAATGAGTCAATGAGACTGGTTAAACTGTGCAAAATGGCAGATGGTGATTTTAGATTTGCATGATAATCTGATGGATTAGTGATAAATTTAGCCAGATGGTGCAATCAGTTATCTACACATCTTGTCTTGAAATGAGTAAAAGTTTGGTCAAGTTAGTGTTTAAATCTACACAAGCCTCGATACACTATTTATTTATTTATTTTTTTTACATAATATAAAGTGAGTTGCAGGTTCCTACATCCCCTTAACTTTATAACTGTACAGTCAAATGTAAAAACAGCAGTATAGGCCATGTAATTTCCTACCTGGTTGTACTGGTCAAAGAGGTCCACTCGTGTCCAGCCACAGGACGTCAGTTTTAAGACCTCCTGGCTGTGAACGTCCAGATCTCTGGCTGCCTGCACCTCCACCACTAGACAAAGGGATGCTGACGGCTGGATCCTAAAGAGGGAAAGGTTTTTGTAGATTTTTGTACATTTAAAAAAAAAAAATCTAGATATTTTCCAAGTGCATTTCCTTCCAGTCTAAATTCAAATTTTATGAACTACACCCTCCAAAGCATTTCACTGCTTTGTACAATAACAAACACTGCTCCTCTTCCCTGGGTGTCGCTGCTACCTGGGCACAGGCTGTTTGACTGACAGGAGAGCGTAGTTCCTAGGGGTGAGGCTGTGGGTGTAAGGAAGGGACAGTCCCGGCAGGCACTGAACAGGGGGCAGTGGAGTCGGCGATCCCACCTCCTGACCTTCTGCGAGGAGAGCTACCACCAAACGCAGTGCCCTCTGAGAGACATCAACTCCCAGCACCAGGTCGTAGAAAACCACAAAACCAGCTCTGAAACGCCAGAGGACTTGAGTTAATTTAAGGAAAGGTAAGTGGGTTAAAACACTGACAGATTTGGATACAGTTTACTTCAGTGTGACTATGTGCTGTTTGACAGGCTTTGAATATACAAAAAACTGCATGATGTGAGCTCAGTGTGTGGCTAAACTCGATTTTTGATATGCTGTGGAGAACTGAACTGACGCAGGGTCGTAGGGAGCTGGACCCAGAGAATCCAGGGAGTCCAAAACACATCTTCCCAGTGGAGAGGAAAGGGGTCTGGCCTGAAACTGAGGGACATATAGAACATCTGAATCAATGTCACAGACAAACACTGTCAAATTACTCAGAGCTAAAAAACAGAATTAGTAAGAGTTGCCCTGTGTTCTTTTGGAGAGCTAAGTAAATGGTTTTGACTACAACTGTGAATAATGTACCAGTGAAAGAGGTGCATGAATGTGAGTGTTGGGCTGGAGTGGGAGTGGAGGTGGGGGAGGCGGAGGAGGCTGTCTCCTGGGCCCAGGAGCTTTGCTTCTCTCCATCTCTGCCTGTAAACTGGCAATCTGCAGGAGGTTCTCCCTCTGAATCAGCTCAAGCTCAGTCCTCACTGCTGCTGGAGAACACACAAACAGCCTCATTTTGTTTTTGGCACACAATGTCAGAAGCACAACATATTACATAATCACTAATAATAATCAATTCAATTCCTAGAGCTGCATGTATCACTATGCAAGGTGGATTAAAGGAAGACTTCAACCTAAAAATGATCATTTGTATATCAGTTACTTACTCCATGTTATGCTAAATTCTTGAAGACAACTTTGCATTTCTCACATGCCTCCACAATAAACGAAAATTAAAAGCTGGTGAAAATTTTTGATGAACTTAAGTAATAGGGGGCCGCATTTAACAACAGCAAAACTGTATCAAAACATCCATTTACAAACTCTCACACAACTTATGCAGCACAATCCAAGTCTCATTTATGCAGTCGTATGCTCAGTACTTCCCCAACACATGCATTTTTGCTAAAAGCCTAATATTTTAAACACTTTTTCATGAACAGTCTTGCACATGGACGAATAGCGTACCTGGGCAAGCACATGCATTCCTTTTAAATCCCACGTCCAAGTTCATTCATTGGCCAGGAAGCAGCAGGCATGGTTGAGTCAAAGCAGAACTCCTGGCCAATGAATGAGCTGGGAAACGTGTTTTCAATGGAATGCACAAACAGCTTCAAAGTAATAGTATTCTGGCAAAAATTGATAGGGCCAGGAGTTCTACTTTTCTTGTTTCTTGTCTTTCTGAATCCAACATCACATGGGCTGAATAGTTGACATACAAATTATCATGTTGTGGGTAAAGTATTCCTTTAAGAGGCTCTATAAATCTGTAGAAGGATGCTTAACTTGTTATTTTGTAAACGTACAGTACAGGCCAAAAGTTTGGACACACCTTCTCATTCAATGTGTTTTCTTTATTTTCATGACTATTTACATTGTAGATTCTCACTGAAGGCATCAAAACTATGAATGAACACATGTGGAGTTATGTACTTAACAAAAAAAGGTGAAATAACTGAAAACATGTTTTATATTCTAGTTTCTTCAAAATAGCCACCCTTTGCTCTGATTACTGCTTTGCACACTCTTGGCATTCTCTCCATGAGCTTCAAGAGGTAGTCACCTGAAATGTTTTCCAACAGTCTTGAAGGAGTTCTCAGAGGTGTTTAGCACTTGTTGGCCCCTTTGCCTTCACTCTGCGGTCCAGCTCACCCCAAACCATCTGGATTGGGTTCAGGTCCGGTGACTGTGGAGGCCAGGTCATCTGCCGCAGCACTCCATCACTCTCCTTCTTGGTCAAATAGCCCTTACACAGCCTGGAGGTGTGTTTGGGGTCATTGTCCTGTTGAAAAATAAATGATCGTCCAACTAAACGCAAACCGGATGGGATGGCATGTCGCTGCAGGATGCTGTGGTAGCCATGCTGGTTCAGTGTGCCTTCAATTTTGAATAAATCCCCAACAGTGTCACCAGCAAAACACCCCCACACCATCACACCTCCTCCTCCATGCTTCACAGTGGGAACCAGGCATGTGGAATCCATCCGTTCACCTTTTCTGCGTCTCACAAAGATACGGCGGTTGGAACCAAAGATCTCAAATTTGGACTCATCAGACCAAAGCACAGATTTCCACTGGTCTAATGTCCATTCCTTGTGTTTCTTGGCCCAAACAAATCTCTTCTGCTTGTTGCCTCTCCTTAGCAGTGGTTTCCTAGCAGCTATTCGACCATGTGTGGCATTCATCTGGTCTCTGATCTGAGCTGCTGTTAACTTGCCATTTCTGAGGCTGGTGACTCGGATGAACTTATCCTCAGAAGCAGAGGTGACTCTTGGTCTTCCTTTCCTGGGTCGGTCCTCATGTGTGCCAGTTTCGTTGTAGCGCTTGATGGTTTTTGCGACTCCACTTGGGGACACATTTAAAGTTTTTGCAATTTTCCGGACTGACTGACCTTCATTTCTTAAAGTAATGATGGCCACTCGTTTTTCTTTAGTTAGCTGATTGGTTCTTGCCATAATATGAATTTTAACAGTTGTCCAATAGGGCTGTCGGCTGTGTATTAACCTGACTTCTGCACAACACAACTGATGGTCCCAACCCCATTGATAAAGCAAGAAATTCCACTAATTAACCCTGATAAGGCACACCTGTGAAGTGGAAACCATTTCAGGTGACTACCTCTTGAAG